ATAAATACAAGTATAGTCAAAAAGAATTTATTTTTAAAATTTTTTATAAAATAAATTCTTTCCATTGTTAAAATATTTTATATATTTGATTCCTACATTTGTTTGTCCCTATAGATGTAGGAATCACATTTTATACCAGTACCAGTAAACAAATAATTATGACAAAGTAAAAAGTATAAATGTTTTATCTTTGCGTTGTATTGTAATTAGTGTAAAGTGCTGTACTGAGTAAAATTTTACCAAAACAGACATCTCGGGGAAAACATTAGAAAATTATAAAGCTCCATCTGGAAGAGTGGAACTTCATCTTTATATCAATATACATATATACAGCGGCTTAGTGGTGGGGGGGGGGGCGGTACCCCTGTGTTCTCCCTAGACATGCACACCCTCCTGGGCCCCCCCTAGAGCCAGAGGCAGGCTCCAATATATTAAACTTTAACATATCTATTTAGATTTTTATCTTTTTACTTGACAATGTCACATTGTCCATTTTATGATAATTTCTCAAATTCTTTCTTGTACCTTAATCTTATTTACACTATTCTTTTCCCGGGGTTTCATAGAAAATCCATTTTAGTCTCTCAAAGCAAGATGTGGTAATGTTCCATCGTCTATAACGCAACATCCCCCCTACTGAAATTCTGACCTACTAACTTTCCGACCTAATATACACATACATCCAAACAGTTTTTTTTAATCTTTGTAACAGATACAATCTCAAGGAATAATAATTGTCTTAAAACATTTTTTTTTAAGTGATAATTTCCAAATTATCTTTTTTTCCATTTCATAATCTGAGTTAGTTTCCCTTATGTCCATTTGACAGTCCAAAAATTTGTTTTTTAAATAATCTTTTTATTTTGTTTCTTGAGGTTTTTAACAAAATTTTTTAATTTTTTTTATCACCATCACCATCACCGAATTTTAATTTTTTCAAAGCACCGCGAACTAAAGCATCACGGTCCACGGAGAGGAGGAGGTTTCCTTTGAGAAACGGGATTTGGAAACATAAGTTTTTAGGTTCAATAGTGCATCAACATGTGAAAGTAATTTTGTTGCAAGTGTGACAGAATATGTTGTCTAGATATATGCAAATAAATATTCGGTCTAGATATCTCAAAAAATAATCTTTTTCAGTCACTCTAGTTAGGATTTTGAACTGATATATATCGTTATTATGTTTCAGATCTAAATTAAATTATGAAACAGACCGAATTTGGAAGAAATTCAAACCTCGGATGAACTTTAAAACTTTCAAAATATTGCTGCTTTTCATGAAATCTGAATATTGCGGATTTTCTTGAAATCTGAATTTTTAAAATGGCCGACAATCCTGGTATTCTGTTGATGTTTCAACGTAAAAATCTATTTACTGATCTCACTGTACAGTGCTCCGATGGGTCAATAAATTGTCATCGGTAAGACTTATTATAACAATAACTTAAATGTCTTAACTTAGTTTCTATTTATTTTTTAAGAAATAATGAATGTCAAATAATTTTTAGAATATAAGCATATTTTAAAGAGGAGACTGTCGAATTAATTTAAGTAACCCTTAATCTATAACATAGCAAGTCCTAATTCACTACGGTACCCTTGAAACCTTCATAGACCTTAGATATTTCATAATTTAAGTTCTGTTTGATCAAATAATCAAAATGAGATATTAAAGGTTTTCACCGTCGGGTTGAAAAGATATATTAATATAGAGATATAGAGATACAGGAATTAGAAAATTTGTGACTAAGACTTAATTTCTTTTTGTCCACTCTTTTAGGATAAAAAAGTTAAGCAACTTTAGATTTTTTGTAAAAATAACTGGAGGGCCCAGCGTTGATCGTGGAAAAAAAATGGAAAAAAAATATTTAAATAAAAAAAAATTTGAAAAAAAATAATTACGAATCTTTTTAGCCTATAACACCCCCAGGCCACCTCTGAGTGTCCAAAACAAATTTCAGCCCAATCAGTCCCGCCTTTAGGCTGGCTTTAGACAACATATATACGAATGTCTGTTTTATTATATATAAAACTGTGATTGATTTTGTAATTAATTTATACAGAAAATTGACATTCCTAAAATAAAACTTAGTTATTTTTTTCTGTAGTGGATGAAAAAGAAATTTAAATATCTATCAAACAGTTCTTAAACAAACACTTGCATAGTTATGGCTAATTGTCAATGAACACAAAAATGTATAAATAATTGAATGGAAGCAATTTGCTGAAGCATAGATATTTTGTAATAGTTAAAACTGAAACTGATCAAATGAAACCTCCTGATGATCTTGTTAAAGTTGAGATTGAAATTGATCCGAAAAATAAACATGAGGAGGTTGAAGTGAAAAGTTCTAAAGCTCCAAAGAAAGATTTTGATATGAAAATCAAAGAAACTGTTCTTGAATGTATCAAGATCAGAGCTGACGAAGCTGGAACTGAGTTTTCCTGTAGTCAGTGCAATTTTAAGACATACGAATCAGAGAAGTTTAATGTGTACAATGTTTTCTTGTGACACGTGTAGTTATAGAGCAATCACACCAGAACTTGTAAAAAAAACACATGAAGCTGAAACAGAAGCACATGAAATATTCTTGTGATCATTGTAATCATTTTCTAACCAGCACACCAGACCTTTCATGAAAACACAAAGCGCTAAACCACAATGTCGGAAGATTTCTTTGTCTCTTTTGTTACTCGTTGCTGGGTTCGCAAGACATTGATCAAAGCACCGGGAACTACAGCATCACGAAGAGGAGGAGGTTTCCCTTGAGAAATGTGATTTGGAAACAATTAACACATTAGAGTTTTCAAGTTTTTAGGTTCAATAGTGCATGAATATGTGAAAATAATTTTGTTGCAAGTTTTCCAGAATATGTTGCCAAAAATAAATAATCGGTCTAGATATCTCAAAAAATAATCTTTTTAAGTCACTTATCAATGTTAAAATCATAATAAACTTATATTTTTAAGATAGGAAAGAATTATATTTTATATATTTTAAAGTTTATATGATTGATAAAAGTTAAAACTATTATGATTTATCAAGAATTACGAAATGTCTGCAAACTTCTGGGAGAACACACCCACCGCGGCGGCTTACGATATAATCCAGGGGCCGGGTAGGTGGAAATAATTGGGATCTATCCCAGAGAACGATTTTTGGACTCCCCTGGCCCCCCTCCTAACAGTTTTGTACATGACCACTTATTTTTCAGTTTTGAGCAAAAATATTATAATTTTTTTATTATTTTAGGTTAGGTTAGGTTAAGACAATTTTTGGGCCGAGCGCTGCGGTTAGGACAGGTTAAGGGGCCGAGCGCCGCGGCTAGGACAGGCTAAGGAAATAATTAATTATCAAATTGTAAATCCTAATTTTAATCCCAGCTGAGTATTATATCACGGTGGGATTGCAACTTGGTTAGAAGGTATCCCTATAAGTCTGTTTGTTTGATTGATTGATTGTTTAACAAGTTGTAGTTAAAACTATGTTCTCTTGTGACATTTGCAGTAATAGAGTAACCAACACAGAATCTTTTATATACTAAACAATATTTTTGTGATCTGTGTAATAAGTTTCTAACTAGCATAAACAACTTTTTTAAGACACACAAAGAGGAAACATAATAAAAATGAAATATTCGTTAGACGGATAGATAATTTTCTAATTAGCACTCCTGAACTCCTGAGATCCTGAGATAAGATAAATTCAACCATTTTAGTTTATGACTGGATCACATGACCTGTTATAAATGCTTAAGATTCGGAACTACAACTTTATAACAGATTATCAGAATTTGTGGACAAAAATAACTAAAAAGGGAAATTTATACTTAATACTCCCACACAAATTATCGAATCATTCCACCTAGAAATCATTTGTTTGCTTTGAAATCTTGGAAAAAGAGAACGAGAACATTTCTGAATATTTGGCCTACTTTTGATGGTTAAACCAACATTTTAGAGCAAAATGTCGACAACCCTTCTATTTACATCGTACGGACTTGAAAAACTTTATAGTACACCAAACCGTTCATCAGGCCGGCTAAAAAGCCTAAACGCAATTTTTTCAGAGACACAGGTTGTATACGCTCATTTGTTTCAGAAACAAATGGATAAAGTGTAAATATTTCTCCTGACAAGATGAAAATAATCTGTGCTGGGTTCCCAAAGACTGGAACCAAATCAATGGCGACTGCTCTACACGATCTAGGGTTCTCAGTTCATGACTTTGAAGAACATTTAGAGGAACAGATTTTCAATATTTAAATGTAAATTTGTTCAAAAAGGCAATACAGAACTAGTTATTTTGTTTTCAAAGTAAACAAAACCTGATCGAGAAAAAAATAGGGAAACTTAAAAACAAAACAAAATTTAAAAAATTGTTCCATGTGTTCCTGGTTTACCTGACCGCGGCACTAGAATTAAACAATAACAACAAATTTTACCGGTTTTTCTCTTTTCAGAGAATTTTTTAAAATGTGACGTTTTTTTGTACATATATTCATTTAACCATGATACAAGGCTTCGATTTTTATTTTAAATCTTTGACTTTTATCGATTTTTTAGTGTATTTTATAAATCAAAATATTTTGAAGCAACTTTTTTTAATTCTAACCATCCATAAATCTTTCCTGGGATTATGTGAGGTCCCACAAAAAATTGGGGCACGATTGGTTTATCCGTTTGACGTTTATTGGTTACAAACAATCAGACAAGGAAAGTCAATATTTAGATTGATTATTAGAACAGGATTTAAAATTTGTGTTCGTTCAGTTGAATCTGGAGAACTATTTGGATTTTCTGGATGGAAAAAAGGATTCATCCTTTCTCATGGAACAGTATAGGTATTTCAGTTTTAATAGAATTAATCATTACATCCTGTATCCGGTTTTAGTAAACCCTGGTAATTTATCCTTGTAGTTTTTTTTTCAGTATCCTTGTATCCCTTCAGCACTTTGTATCCTGTGTTCAGAATCTTTAAATCCAGTATCCCAATTCCCAGTTCCTGTATCCAGTATTCCTGTATCTAATTCTAGTATTCCTGTATCCAGTATTCCTGTACCCAGTATTCCTGTATCCAGTATTTCTGAATCCAATATTCCTGTATCCAGTATTCCTGTATCCAGTATTCCTGTATCTAGTATTCCTGTATTCAGTATTCCTGTATAAAGTATTTCTTTATTATTGAAGCCAGAAAATTATTTATCCAGTATTTCTGTATCCTAGTATTCAGTATTCCTGTATACTGAATCCCTTTATTGATGTGGATATTATTCCAGGGATATCGATGTAGTTGTGGATCCCTAGTTGTATTGATATGGATATTATTCCAGGGATATTGGTGTAGGTGTGTATCCCTAGTTGTATTGATATGGATATTATTCCAGGGATATTGATGTAGTTGTGTATCCCTAGTTGTATTGATATGGATATTATTCCAGGGATATTGATGTAGTTGTAGATCAACCAGCTTGCACTTTATGGTATATATTCTTCAAACACTATCCTGAAGCTAAGGTGAGGCAAGTAGTGACGTGCATTAAGTAAGATCATTTTTGGTTCGTATTTTGCCTATATTTACTTTTATGGTCAACATTTTGCAGAATGTAAGAAAAGAAAATGTTTTAAAAATAGTTTTTTTCTAAACATTTGCTTTTTTGCGTTATGCAAAATCCTGGTCATAAATAGTTCTTCAAAATTTACTGATTTTTTACAATAAAAGAATTTAAAAATATTTTGAAAATTTTTAACAATTGTTTTTTAACAGTTTATGTTTGAGTTTTGAGAGTAAAAAAGTTTTTTATAGATTATGGCTGATATTTTGACCCTTGGATCCAGTAATCCGCAATGTTGCAAATTCAATGGATCCTGATCCTTAGCATTGTATAGAATATATATTTATAATGTATTTAATAAATGGTAAAAATTATCCTCTGAACAAAAAAACAACTCTTGAAAGGGTTTTTATTTTTTCAGAATTCCCCCCTCCTCAGTCCCACCCGCTGTGGTAGGGAATGATTTTTGAAAATCTGGGGGAAAAATGAAAAATTGTTTTAAACCATTTTGATAATTTTTACCCAATTTTTTTCTACAAATTATTTATTTTTTCCAAATCAATGAAAAAAAACCCTGAAAAAATTATTTTTTAATAAATGGGGGTTATGATTTTTTTTAAGAGAATATAACTTTAAAGATCATCCCAATTTGTTAATTCCACAGTTCTTATCAAGGTTTTTTATATCTGGTAATTCCACAGTTCTGATCAAGGTTTTATACACCGGTTAATTCCACAGTTCTGATTAAGGTTCTATATATTGAGTAATTACATTGTTCTGATCAAGGTTTCAATTATAAGGTAATTCCACTGTTAGGATCAAGGCTTTATATAGCGGGTAATTTCACAGTTCTCAAAGGGAGTAATAGAGAAGCTGGACATAATTCAGCACATAGTTGCCAGGAATATCCTGCAACTGCCAAAGTCATCAGAGAGGGTAGCAGGAGCCATAGACGCAGGGCTAATGCCAATGAAGGATAGGGTCAGTATAAAGCTAGGAAACTACGTCTGGGAGAAAAATCCTTAAATCAGTGTTTTATGCTGGGATTAGGACTCCGCATGACAAGTGGGCTCTCCAAGTAGAAGCCCTTAAAGTAGTGGTTGGGAGCCGTCTGTTCAATGGCCCCAGAAGGTTGCTCAAAAGAACCTGTGGCTAACGTTCTCAACATGGAGAGAGACACGTCTTCACTAGCTTCTATGCCTCAACCACAAAAGTGGTTTAGGCTCCAACATCATGTAGTTAGGAAATAGAAGACCTACCCCCTTGGGCAAAATACTCATACTTTCCATTCTGTATCACTGTAGGAGCGAAAGCGAAGCTGTCAGAAGGACATGTGATCATTGAATGTCAAAGCGTAATATATGAATGCATCCAGAGCACTATCCTAGCTCTATGATTCAATTCCCATGACGCAAAAACCACTCTGAGAAGGTACTTAGGGGGAGATAATGCCGAAGTGAAGCTAAATGTGTGCATTAGAACGTAGGCACAAAGTGATAGAAGCAATCTAAATTACAGGTAGCTTCAGCTTGACACCTCCCTTGAATGAAGAGTAAACATTCGTCACCAGGTTGAGTGACTTGCCAGATTCCGTACTTTGATTTACATTTCCCTGGCATAGGGTAAGAATATCAGGATTCAGGCTGCAGGGTGAACAGGTTTTAAACACAGGCCCTTAATGTCCAATGGGGGTCTGTGGAACCCACATTTGGGGTCTACCATGATCTTTTCTTTTTATCTTTTTTTGTTGGGTAATTCCACAGTTCTGATTAAGGTTTTATATATCAGGTTATTTCATGGTTCTCATCAAGGTTTTATATATCAGGTTATTCCATGGTACTGATCAAGGTTTTTTTGTATATTATGCTATTCCATGGTTTTGATCAAGGTTTTATATATTGTCTAGTCCCACGGTTTCAATCAAGATTTTAGTTATCGGGTAACTCCACTGTTATAATCAGGGTTCTGATCAAGGTTTAATAAATAGGTTATTCCACAGTTCTGATCAAGGTTTTATATATCAGGTTATTCCATGGTACTGATCAAGGTTTTTTATACAAAGTTATTCCACAACTTTTGATCAAGGTTTTATAAATCGTCTATCCTACGGTTCCGATCGTGATTTTATTTATCCTGTAATTCCACTGTTATATCATGGTTTTATGTATCAGGTTATTCCATGGTACTGATCAAGGTTTTTATACAATGTTATTACACACTTTTGATCTAGGTTTTAAATATCGTCTAATCCTACGGTTCCGATCGTGATTTTATTTATCCTGTAATTCACTGTTATATCATGGTTTTATGTATCAGGTTATTCCATGGTACTGATCAAGGTTTTATTTATTAGGTAATATTGATGGAACGGGAAAGTCCTGAGGTTTGGCAAGATTCCTATTCGAGGTTAGACAAAAAACGCAAAATTTTCTGCTCAAAATTTTTTTTTACAAATCTCGCAATTTTTTATTTTAGAATGCTTGAGTATTACAACACAAATCAGCGAGTATGGTATGAGAAATACATCCGATGGTAAGTGGAAAACTGTTGGGATGCTTTAAAAGCCTTTGCTTCGTCAAATTTTCCCAGGTGTTTTCAATCCTAGTTTAGAATAAGGGGGGTTATATTTCCTTTCTAAATCGTAATTTTTCCCTCAGAAATGTTTCCCGGTATGTTGGTAAATAGTAAGTTAAAAATGATTTTATGTAGAAAAATAAACTGAATTTTGCAAATTAAAGGGACTGTAAGCGTAATTCAAGTGACCCTCCATTTTTAAAGTGAGTTGTCTGATTCACAACTGTACCCTTTAAAAACCTGATTGATCAAGAGTGGCGGACTTATCCTTATTTATTTACTTAAACGCTTGTAATTGTTTAAGACTATTTTTGCAAGCTGTTCTATATTTAAGGAATATGTATATTTCATATTTACTTTCTAGAAGTCAAAGCAAATGAATATTTACATTCGAATTTTGAAAACCGCGTTGGGCATAGAATATTCTAGATTTTCTAGATTTTCTAGATTTTCCAGGAATATGCGTAACATCATCTGTTTTGAGTTCACGCCGTACGTTAGCGTACAATGTGCATTATGGCTATTAATAAAAATTATAGAAGTGTTTGCTTAGGTCTGCAACATGGGGCTCCCTGAAGATGGGTATATCTATATATAAATGTATGTATATTAGTAAATTAAAATCTATCAATGATAGAATACAAATATTATATTTAGGTTCAGTGCGACGAGGGAAAATACAAATATCATATTTAGGTTCAGTGTGACGAGGGAAAATATAAATATCATATTTAGGTTCAGTGCGACGAGGGAAAAGTTTGATCGACTAAGTATTCACAATATGACAAGATCGACAGCATGTCCTGACAACTTCTTCGACCTTGTCGACTTGCATACCAATAAAGAGTTATGGATGTATCAATACATTATGCATAATGCCGCGGTCAAACAGGAATGTGTTCATATTTTCTGAAAATGACTGTTCTGCCAAAATATCCATACTTTTCCTTTAGTACTGGTTCTTCAATAAAGGGACTGGTCAGCGTAATTTCCGGTTACCCCTCAAGTAAAGAGTGCATGTCCTATTCACAATGGACCCTTTACATTATGTGTGAATTATTTTAATATCCTACTTTGCCTCTGTTGTTCAAGTCCGCTATTCTCTTTCATAGAGAAACTTTTAATTTTCAAAAAAAAAAACGTGTTAGAATGAAGAGTCACTTTAAATTACCGCGTACAGCCCCTTTAAGAAGAGTTTTATTCAATAGAAATAAAATAATTGTTCGGTCATGTTTGGAAACATACCGTGGTACAATTTTTTTATTTTCTCAATAGATTTTATATCATTGAGGAGGGAGTGTCTTGATTTTTTATCCAGTTGACAACGTTAAAAAAAATAATCGAAAATTTTGTATTTTAAAAGAATTCAAGTAATCTTCATCATTTAATGAATTTTTTAATGGAACCCTTGAATATCCTAGGGTAACATCATACATAGGCTAAGAAAAATTTAAATATAAAATTTTGTTAAAATATCATGGGCAACGCCGGGCACTTCCGCTAGTGATCAATAAATATATGGAACACCTAACTCCCAGTTGGTTCCTGCAGATCAACTGCTTGTGTTCCAAGTAGGGGAGGGTTGGGAACGTTTGTGCAAGTTCCTCGGAAAACCAGTTCCTGAAGAAGAGTTCCCTAGAGAAAATGTTGGAGGAACCAAGGGACATTTTTTTCGCAATTCCAGGGGTGTATTTTTCTCGAAAAATCATTATTCTTCCCCCACTTTTGAAAATATTGTTATCCTCAGTTGTACGCTCTAATTTTAAGGGTTTTATTCGCTGAATTTGGGAAGATAATAATTTATAGGGAAACTTTTTGAATTTTGGGGTAAAAATATTAAAAATAGTGAAAAAAGGTTGCCATTTGATGTCCAATTTTTCATTTCTTCCCCCCAAACCATCAAAAATCATTTCCAATGCCCCCCCTCCCCCCGAATCAAAAACAAAAACTTTTTTTTTGAATAAAAGTTTTCGATCAGTGAAGCAAAAATCAATGTTTGAATGTAGAACAATATAACTGATAAAATGGTGCAGTTCAATTTGTTTGATAATATCAGAAAGGAAAAAATATGTTTTTTACTTGTTCAAAAAAATTTATTAAATGTTGTTAAAAAAAAGACAATATTTCTTTTATAAAAAACAGTAATTAGCAAGCAAACAATTCAACGATTTAATGAAATATATTTTTTCAGGAGTTTCGAATAAGCATGGCACTGATAGGAATGAAATTTTATTTCAAATAAATTAACAATAAATGTTTCCAAAGTTCTAGTTCATGGCATCATTAAACTGCTCGACGTTTGTTGCGAGTGCCCCTCAGTAAAGAGAGATAACAGGGTGTCCCACGAAACATGACAATTGGTAAATAGTTTTGAATGTCGTCTTCCATATACTGTATTAGGTATTTAAGGTTTTTTGCAGTTTATTTTGTTAAAAAAAAATCTTTTGCTCAAATATATTTTACTTTGAAATAAATTTACTATATAATATTATTAAGGTATCAAACATCATAACAAATTATGGAAGAAGACATTCTAAACCATTCGAAAAATTGTCATGTTTCTTGGGACACCCTAGTCGCAGTCGCAGTCGCTGTCGCTGTCTCTGTCATTATTATTGCTATTGCCATTATTTTTATCACACTAATGAAATAAGAATAATAATTTTCGTGATAGGAAAAAATGGAAGCCTTGTATTTAACTTTGAACTCAGGTCCAATCTCAGGTTTGAATAAGATTTTCTTTTTGAGTTCTGGATTATACATATTACGTATATGTTAGTTTGTTACCCAAAAAATAGCTGAAACGATTAGATTGGGCTTTTTTTGCGGAACATGCTTGAATAATGAAAATAATTGTAGTCACAGCGACGAAAAGGCTATATTTTTTGTTTGCTCATTTTTATGAATGTTTTTGTCCACAACATAAGTAGATACTAAAATATTTTATTTCTTTACTTCTATATTTTTCATCTTAAGGTTCACAATTCACTTTTTTTCAGTCTTCAAAATATGTATGTTGTTACATATTTTTTGTTGTGAAATCATTTTTAGAGCTCTGAAAATTAAAATTAAAAAGATGTTCTTTCTCCGAAATGTTGAGCTAGCCTGACAAAGTTTGCTTTGATCTTGTTTTTCTTTTTTCATTTGCGACCCTAACCTTTAAATTGAATAAACTATTTGTAGAACTTCTGCATGGAAGCTGTAAACCTGAACACGTTGACGTCGTAAAGCATGAAGTTGACGATGATTCTGTACAGGATGCACTTGTTCAGAGTTCACAGGATATACACGAGAATTCGTACGAGGAGGATGAGCAAATACCGCAGGGGGGTGAAATAAAAATCAAAGAATCTGGAAAGAAAGTAGAAGGTAAAATTTAGATTAAAAAAATAGATTTGATTCCATTTGAATATTTTGATATTTTCTATTAAGTTTTGATTATTGATTGATTGATAAAAATTTTCTTTTTCTTTTTTGACATAATTATTTCTTTTTCTTGCAGACTGTGGATCTTGTGAAAAGTGTGGGAAAATTTTCCTCTCTAAAGTAAGACTGAAGAAACACTGGCAAAGCTGTTCTAAATATCACCACTGTGCACCATGTGGAAAATCGTTTGTTGGTTTAACAAGCCTAAAGAGACATATGAAGAGTCATTGCGAGTTTTTCTCTTGTGATATTTGCCAATATAAATTTAAGTCTCAATCTATTTTGGAAGAGCACATGAACACTCATGTAGAGGACCCTGTGAATACACTTGAAAAGAAAGGGAAAGAAAAAACGTCTGTAAAGACATTAACAAAGGTAAATTTTTATTTTATACTATTTATCCAAAAAATCCTTTATTTTCCCAGAAAAAAAAATTCTTTCTAACCTATTTTTTAAGAAAAAAAATGTCTCTGGCTTTTTCCTTCTTTTTGATATTTGATTTCTACTCAAATTTTAAAACATTTCCTTTTACAATAATTCTTTTTCTGAGAAAGAAGTAATGTTTTACGGGTTGATGATTTTTAAAGAAAATATACACGCTTAATCACCTCAGATTAAGGTACACCAATTATTATTATTATTATTGTTATTTGAAGGGACTATAAGTGTTATTTCAAGGGACCCTACATGCAAAGAGGGCAATACCCTATTTACAACAGTACCATCGAAACCATCGAAAGTCTCTGTTTAAATATATAAAAACCTGCTTGAACTTCTCTAAAAGTATTGACTGTTACACGTTAAATTAAAAACTGCAAGTATTGACTGTTATACGTTAAATTAAAAACTCCAAGTATTGACTGTTATTTGTTTAATTAAAAACTTCAAGTATTGACTGTTATACGTTAAATTGAAAACTCCAAGTATTGACTGTTATATGTTAAATTGAAAACTCCAAGTATTGACTTTTATACGTTGAATAAAAAACTTCAAGTATTGACTGTTAAACGTTAAATTAAAAACTTCAAGTATTGATTGTTTAACGTTATATTGAGAAATAATGAAAAGCGTTGTGGTTGAATGATAAAGATATGTACAGATATATAGGGTACCGTTGTGAATCGTGGATGGCCCACTTTAAATGGAAGGTCACTTGAAATTACGCTTTCAGTCCCTTTTTAATTATTAAAACAAGGTTTTTCTCCAGGAAAATAGATATTCTTGTGACTACTGTGAATACAAGACGAGTAATAATAGAAATTTGAAGAGACATGTTGAGCATCTGCATCTAGGTAAAGTTTCAGTCTCCCCCCTCCCTCGCCCCCCCCCCTTTCTCTATTCTATCTTAGGAAATAGTTTTAAGCCTTGGGGAGAAGTGAGACTTGGATATTTTATTTCCTTAATCCTTATATGTTGAAATTTATGATATAACAATTATACATTCTCTTAGAAACAACAGTTTTACATTTAAAATTCGGTGATGGTGATGGACCAAATCTCTGTAGAGTAAAAAAAAGTAGATGTTAGTTTAACATTTATTGAAAGTATATTTCGGTCTGGGTTGACCCTTGTCAGTTCTTGAGATTGTTTCTATGTGTTAAAATATAATATAAAAAACACCAAATTTAGAGGTATCGTCCACAAAAACATAAAATGAGGTTCAGGATATCAAAAAATTATTGTTTATTGGACGAATTGGACAACGCCCGAAACCTACAACAATTGACAAACCTTATTTTCTCGCATTTTTTAAGTATATAACGAATATGATAAAGATCACCAATTAATTCGTTAGGTTTCCACTTTTCAGACACACTTGAATTTTTATTATAAGAAGTAAAAACTTCAAAAAAATTATTTTTGAAGATCTTGGAGGGGAAAATGAAAAATTAGACAATTCAGCAATTAAAACCCTAAAAAAGACAATCTTCTAGGAAAAGAAAAATTAGAACGGGGAGGGGGGATAATTTTTCATGAAAATATACACACCTTTGTTTATGTACTGCAGGGATAAAGTACGAGTGTAAGGTTTGTGGAGAACTGTACGCATCAAAATCAAGCCTGTACATGCACTCAAATGTACATACAGGGAAAATATTTATTAATTAAAACAAGATTCAAACCACACAAAAAAAACCCTAGATCTTAATTCAACATTAGTTAAAAAGAAATAATAATATTTGCTTTATTTGAAAGATTATTATTAAAATAAAAATTGTTGTTATTTTGTAATAATTGTTGGGTTCTGATTGATTGATTGATAATTTATTTTTGGTAAGTTAGGTGATTTTTTAACGCTATTTTTGAAATTATTTAACGGAAAATTGATTGTTCAAGAGGAACGAAGGGCGGATTGATTTATTGATTGATTGATCGATTAATTTATTGATTTATTGATTGATTGATTGATTGATTGAGTGAATGATAAATATTTTAAATAGATGATCGACCTTTTATTTGCACAGAATGTGGAGATCGGTTTAAATGGAAGAAAAATTTAGGTCAGTTAGTATTTATTTTGTATTATTTTATAATGTCAATTTTGCACAGTTTTTTTTAATCAGTTAAACTACATATTATAACTCTTGTAACTTTTGCTTTGATATGCTCTTGATCTACTGTAGAAAGCCACGAGTCTAATTAACAGAGTTATATTTAATTAAGTATTAATAAAGCTATCCAACTTTGATTTTCTAATATTTTTATCTTTTTGACTTAATTGTGTAAACTTTCTACATTTTACGCTATGAACTAGCAGTATCCATAGTTTGAAATGTCAAAGGTCTACACATCAGGTTGCAAAGACATAAGGATTAGATAATTAGAGTTTGAGGCGAGTATCAGTTCCATTGTTTAGAATCTCACATGGATAACAATCACATGGATAATAATCATGAAATTTCTCCTTTGTTTAGTATCCCAATTGGATAATAAGCATAGTATGATTTCCTTTGTTTAGAATCTCACATGGATAATAAGCACAGTAAGATCTCCTTTGTTTAGAATCTCACATGGATAATAAGCACAGTAAGATCTCCTTCTCCTGTACCATCTGCTTCAAACTCTTCAAATCACAAAACTCTTTAGGAAGATATTCTTAAAATTTAGAATATCAAATCTTTTCTATGAAATATCAATTGTTATCGAAAATTATAACTCCTGCACGTCAGACGACTATTGTTTTTTGAGGAAAATTTTACTGACACTTACTGTAACAAATTTTGTATAGCTAAACATCCTTTGTAAACATTTAAATAAAAAATAAAAATTCGCAAAATGGGGATTTTCTGAGGTAGTTTTTAAAAATTTTCTTTTAAAAAAAACTTGCTTCGCGAAAATCAAAGCAATAAATATTTTTTCTGTTCTTTCCTTTTAATTAACTGTGTAAACCTTATATAACCAGAATTGGGGGGTGGCTATGATTGCTTGCCTCCCCTCCCCCTTAAAAATGTTACTATTTGCAGGCCTTATCTTTTTGTTTTGTTTATATCACCAAACACATGTCTAAAGTGTCTAATGTCTGGTGTCAGATGTCTATCTATCTATCTATATTAATGCATTGTTTAAATTAAGCCTGATTGATCCAATTAAGGCCCTGCTAGCTGGATAAGCTGTTTCTATGGAAAACTATTGTCGGGCAGATAATTGAAAATTGTTTAAGAAGAAGGGCAGCTTTTTTAAAGCGATTTTTATCTCATAGTTTCACCTCTTTAACAAATTTTAAAACTTCCCTGGCGAGGAAAATTAAAAATTCAAATATGTTTAGTTCTAGTTCGGAAAAATAGATATTTTAACTGAGGCCGAATTTAAAGAAGTTGAGACACGGCTCAATATGGTTGGTTTTTTTAAAATTATATTTAATGTTTCATGATTTAAGCCGTTGCTCATTTGAAACCGGTTTTTGGCGGATTTGGGACTCGGCTAAAATTCATTAAATTCGGGCTCTGTAAACATAATTGTAAGTAACCTCCTATTTATAGAGTGGCATGTCTGATTGTTTGATTAGGGTTGAATGAGATTTCCTTCTATAAATAGTTGAAAAAAGATAAGTTTCAAGTGCGGTTTCGTTGTAAAAGTAACTTGCAGATTTATGTTGGAGACGCATTAAAGGCAGTTACCAGAAATTAGACGTCGTGGATCAAGCATGTCACTCTCTAAACGTCTGTGGTTCCATATAATTTGAATTTTATAGCACTCTTATCTGTTCCAAATTTGAATTTCCTTTTTTTTCTTCATTTCTAAAACTTTGTAAAAAATGTTACGATAATATTGTAAAATTAAAGACCTTATAGTTTGCAACAGATTTTAACAATTTAAGCTTTTTCTTGACATTGTTAACGATAAGATTTGTTAAAATTCGTGATTATTTCCTTGAAGTGGTGGGGGGGAGCGGGGGGAGTCTAGATTAGTCATGAGGTTAATAAACCCTATTACTGAGAATTCAAATGAGCCAATACAATTCATTAAACATTAAACAGACATTCAACTAAATAAGGATCCGAGTTAAAACTTGTGAAAATGTTGTAGAATTAAGGTTGAAAAGTGAGATAATTTGACAGTGCTAACTAGAATAACAAACAGAGGCTGTCCTGATAATTTAAAAAGTGCTTAATACGAAATACAGAATTGGTTTTTTTTCTTGTTTTTTTTCGGGGGAAGCACTGTATTTTTTATATTAAATATTAAATTAGTTTCTTATTAAATTAGTTATTTTGAAAGAAAGAGTAAACAGCGTAAAATGTACATGTCAATAACAATTTAACGAGAATTTTTTTTATCTTCTAAAGTGGTAGGCGACTATATTAATACAATGAAGACGACTTTTTTATTTCAGTTTTGATTGTTAAAAAGCTTTTTTCGAAAATGACTGCGCATTTCTTGCTGAAAAGAAGCAATGGAGAATTTAAACAATTTTCGAGTCAGAAAGACAATATTTTTGATCAGATTAAGGTTTTAAGGGTACCGATGTAAATCGGACATTGCCATCTCTTCATAGAAGGTCACTTTAAATTACGCTCACTGTCACTTTTACGATAAAATGTGTGTCTAAATTTTACATCAATTTTGCGTTCACGTTCTCTAAAATTTATAATATAATCTTGAATGAATATCGTACTGCAGACTACCACAAGAAGTCACATGACGTGAGCCTTCAATTTCCCTGTGATGTGTGCGGAAAACGGTTCTTTACAAAAACTAAACTAAAAATGCACAAGAATATCCACACGGGACATAAACCTTACAAGGTAAATCTTTTTTCAAAGTGTTGAAAAATTAGAAAAGCATTAAATATCCCCAATATTACTTTATAGAAATTATAAAATCAAAGATATTGAAATCATCAATGTTCAGTGCTAATGTTCAATAATTTTGGGCGAGAAGCACCCACGAAGATTAGTTACAAATAGAAATGATCAATAATCAATGAGAATGATCAATTGTTGATCAACATGATTATGATCAATTGTCAATGAAAATGATCAATTATGAAAGACAATGATCTTTAATCAATGATTAATGGTCAAGGTTCTATTATCAATGGTCAATGGGCAATGGTCAATGGTCAATGGTCAATGGTCAATGACAATGACAATGACAATGACAATGATCTTTGATCTTTGATCTTTGATCTTTGATCTTTGATCTTTGATCTTTGATCTTTGATCTTTGATCTATGATCTTTGACCTTTGATCTTTGATCAATGATCAATGATCAATGATCAATGATATAATAATAAATGATCATTCTATTACACTGTGCTTGTCTGTCAATTTGTTTGTAACCGATGAACGTCGAAACGGTTGAACCCATCGGGCCAAACAATTTTGAGGCAACTCACAGCAGCATGACCCCAGGGAATGTTTATGCATGGTTGGAATTAAAAAACATTGCCTAAAAGATTTTTTTAAATCCAAGAAAAAAATCGTAAAAAATGATCAATGATAATAGCTAATTTTGTGATAAGTGATACTTTTTTTGCTTGTTTTAACGAAGGTTGTAGAAGAAGCGACAACCACAACCACAATGACGACGACCAAAACTATGACAACGACAACCTTCAACCAAAAAACGACAAACGACAGCCAAAATGGCTAACAGAGCCTCTTGTCAACGACAAGCGACCAATGACCATATATTCTTGTGTATTTAGTGTATAAATGAAGGGTGTGGAAGAAGCTTTCACTCCAGTGATCAGTTATCACATCACAAAAAGATTTGTAGAGTCACTAAAACCCAGGTGATATATTTAAAGGGATTTATTTAAAGGGATTTATTTAAAGGGATTTATTTAAAGGGATATATTTATAGGGATTTATTTAAAGGGATTTGTTTAAAGGGATTTATTTAAAGGGATTTATCTAAAGGGACTATAACAGTAATTTGAAGTGTCTCTTCATGAAATGATGGCAATGCCCGATTTACAATGGTACCGTTAAAAGCGTTGTCTGATAAAGTATGAATGAGAAAGCAATAATTATAATTTCGAAAAAAAAATTATTTTAATTGTAGTCACTCTATAAAAGTGACTTGCGCATTTCTACTACGGGAAAACATGCAAGAATAATTTTTAAAAAAAACGACCATTTCCTCCACATTATTGATCAGAAAAAGGCTTGAAGGGTACCGTTGATAATCGGATTTGGGCATTGCCATTTTTGTATAGAGGGGGGTCACTTAAAATTACGCTAGAAAAAATAAGTTTATGTTATGGATCCTTCTAATCCGGATTCTAACTGTTCCTATTCAACTGGCAGGATGATGACGGATCCCTGGCTGTGTTCAGCATTGTTGAATCTTCCCAAATCAAATCCAAGACGTAATCGATAAGTAATCTTCAATATCCAGAACTTACTGATTAATCAATTAGAAAGCCCCTCCCTCTCTCTCTCTCTCTCCTCCAAAATTATGTTTTATTGTTAAATATGGATTTTAAAAAAAATAAATGAATGCATTGATTAAAACGGGTTTTAAAAAAGAAGAAAATAAAAGAAGCGTAGAACTTTATTATTTAGATGATTTTTTTATTAAAAAAGAGGAAATTTATATAATTTAAGGTTAGAAATAAACATTTTTAAATTATTCAACTAAAGTAATGCTAATTCATGTTTGGAATTTTTCAACCTATCCTTATGACCTTTGCATTAAATGACTTAAAAAAAAATTCCATAAGTGTAGCAATTTTTATTGCTTTAGAAATTGTTAACGAAGATGCTCTAATCTAAGGATGTAATGCAAGGAAAGTTAAATGCAGTTGCGTATACTCTGCGTACATATTGAAACCAGTTTTCTCTGGGCGGAATTTGTAAACAAGTGTTCGTTTAGTATCTGAGGGGGGTTAAAAGAATTAAACTTTGATAATTTTGATAATTCACATAATAGTTTCCTATGACCAGAATATTTCACTGATCATTTATGTGAAAGATGGATCCCATTTCAGGCTTCGACATGTAATACGACATTATAAACAACTCTTGCTAGTATTCATATATCTGGGATTGACTGTACATAATTACGTCTCTCATCTTGTCTTCATCAACAAAACGCATTAAAAATTGTTTGTATGTATATTTCATAACTTGATATTTATTTACAACCCAACTATGTAGAAAATCAAACATGAAGGGCTTTCCTTCTTCAGATCTTTAAATACAGGGTGTCCCACGAAATATGACAGTTTGTGAATAGTTTAAAATGTCTTCTTCCAAAATTTAATGAGTTTTTTGATACTAAAGAGACAAAACATTTGACAGTTATAATAGTAAAATTGATTTCACAGTAAAATAAATATGTGTTAAACATTTTTTAAAGAAATAAATTGCAAAAAGTCTTCAATACAGTATGTGGAAGAAAACATTCGAAACTATTTACCAACTGTCATGTTTCGTGGGACACCCTGTATCTCATTAAGAATCATGAATTATGGTAACTTGAATTTAATGAATAATTAATTTGAAGTAAAACGATTGTAGATCCAAAAAATGATTTTGTACAATGTACATACATAATGCTTACAAATACTGTTAGATGAAACCCTAAAATTCTGTTCAAAAAGTTGAACAAAATGTTCATAATTTCACAATGTTATGTTACAAGCAAAATGTCAGGTTTTCTTCTAACAACTATTTAGGGAAGACTCTAGTTTGTTGTTTGACATTAAAACAAATGAAGAAACTAAGGATTAATAAATACAGGATTGTTTCTCATCTCTTCAAAGATTTGGAGGATAGTTGGTAAACACATGTTTAGTTTCTTGGGCTGGGTGTTGACCCATCTGTGCAGGTTGGAAGGTCTCCAGTGCTACATCTGTAAAATAATCATTTAAAATGTGGTATCATTGTTTATGATTAAACGTTTTACGGGGGTGTTGATATCAATGAGAATCTCAATGCATATAAAATTAATATATGTAATCTATAGTATATTTTGTTTGTTTGTTTGAAACCTATAAACGTCAAAATGGCTGAACCGTTCGGGCCAAAATTTCTGGTGGGACCTCACATGACCCCAGGGAAGGTTTATGGATCCTCAGCATTACAAAAAAATTGTCTTAACCCTTTTTTTGATTTTCGTAAAATTTAAAAAATCCACACAAAACTGTAAATTCTCGAAAACTTTCATTTTTGTTTTATCAAAGGGAAAATGTCATCTATGCATGTAGGGAGGGTCACTTGAAATTACGCTTACAGTCCCTTTAAATCGGGGGAAAAATAAGTTTTTGGTATTATTAAGGTATGCTGTAAACCTCTGGTATAGTTTACCTCTTAGTTGGGGCCTGGCGGTCAGCACATTGGTTTTTCTTCATTTTTCTGCTTCCGTCTGTGCAACGACGTTGAGGTCTCTCGTTGTTGGGGCAAGATGGCCTAAAGCATTTCTTCATTATATTTTTGAAAAGGAGTTTGAATTTAAAGTGTAAGCTAATTAAAAATGAAGGTGTCCTATAAGCAATGTTTAACAAGTCGAGAAAGTTGTTTGTTTTTCAAAGCACACTTTTTAAAATTGGTGTTGTAGCAATTGGGAACTTTTGAACTGAATAAAGTGTTTATAGCGTTAAGAACATATATCCATATACTTTGCTTTTCTGTTTGTTTTTTTGTATCCAATAAACGACAAAACAGCTTCAGATGTCCCCAGGGCCGGGAAGTTTGCCTCCATCAAAATTCGATTTGGATTAAATTTTGAAAATCCACGAAATCTTTTATTTAAAATCCGCGAACTTTTTTTCGTTTTTGTTTTATGTACAATGTATACAAGAAACAATGTTTACAATTGAAAGATAAGATGGGCGCGAAGTGCCCTAAAAGCTTAATATACGAACATTAAAGACTTAAGAGAATTATGATTCTATTTTTTTCTATCGCATAAAAAGTTCTGAAAAACAGTTTAGAAAATCCGGGAGTTTGGGAATATGTACACCATGTACAGTACTACGCACTAAACCTACTTTGTGTTATCTGCGCATCTGCCAGGAAGCACTACAGGAACTGGTGCAGATCCGTCTGCGCATGCTCTCTGAGGAGGGACGCCATCAGAGCATGGACTTCGTCTCTGCTTCTCTGTGCCATCACTGCACCTTTTTACTGGTCTACTCCCATCCTCACATCTGATATAACAAACAACTATAGCCCAATTTTTTAAACATTTTACCAAAGGTCGTATCTATCTATCGGTACTTCTTACAGGGTAACCATATAAAATGACCATGGGTTCTATCTAGGGTATACGGTGGTAGGCGATTATATCAATATAATGAAGACCTTTTTTGATATATAAAAAGCTTCTTAACAAAAAAAAACTTAATAAAAAAGTGCTCTTCATTATATTAATATAAAAGCCGACCACCGTAGCAAGACTAAGAAATTGGACATATTTTTTACATTAAAAGGATTAAATGTTTGATTAATTAATGGTTAGGATTGATTTACAGTATATCCTTTATATTTGAATACAATGAAGAATTTATATAATGTCGTCTTGACGATTACTTGTTTATTAATGCTGCTGCACTTTAAATGAATTAAAACTGGTTTCTGCTTGCAGCTTCAGTGGTGGAAGTTAAAGGTTTATGCGGGGTGTGTATTTTCTTAAAAAATTTCCCCCCCTTCTAAAATTATTTTTTTCCCCAGGTAATAGCTAAATTTATTTAGGGTTGGAGAAAATGAATGATTTTTATTAATTAAATAAAATGTTTAGGAAAAGTATCAAAAAGAAGCTTAACTGTTTAAAAATAGCATCATTGCACCATTGAAACAAGTAATTTTCACAAAAATTTATCATAAATAGGCTTATACAAATTCTTTCATTGTAGAATGTTGAGTGTTAACTTATTCTGTAGAAAAAATACGATTTCACCTAAGAGGACTGTTGTTCCCTTCTCTTCCATTCCTCTTTCTGCCGCCTACGCCACAGGGTAATAATTTAGTCATTAATCCAAAAAAAAAAACATCTTTTGAAAATTTTAGAAGATTTTGCTTTAAAATTGTTACCCCTGCCTTCAACTGCACTAAAGAAGAGAGAACAAGCAACTGAAAAAAAAATAAATAAAAATCAAATTTTACACACATGGGCGTTTAAGGCACTTTGCTGCCATTTGTTACCATACTTTAACAAACAATAATATTTGCTGATTTTTATGTTTCTTTAATTCGTCTCCAGTGGAATAAGATTTCACACTAAAAAATAACTTAAAGACACTATATTAGTGCAATTCAAAGTGACCTCCGATCCAGTGCGTCAAAGATAACAATGCCCGATTTACAACAGTTGTACCCTTGAACCTTAATCTGATCAATAATGTGGAAGAAAACGTTGTTCTTTTTAACTCGCAAAGTGTTAATTTCTGTAAATTTCTCAAATGTTTTGGCTAAGTAATAAATGCTTAAGTCACTTATGCAGAGAACCCACTAATGAAAATAAACTGTTTTATTAAACAAAATAATGGATATCTAATTCATACTTGATAAGACAAAGCTTAAAAGGGTACGTTATTGCCACTTTTGCATGAAGGGTCACGTAAAATTTTAAAAATTTAAAAATGAATGTTTCTCCTGTTTTTTCAGTATAATCCACTGTTAAAAGTACTTTAAGGCCTAGTCTCAACTTAATATTGCTTTTATTCTTGAATGAACTTATTTTTCTAACGTTTATAATGGTTTTGCCAACTGGGCCTGTATTCTAAATATATAAAGGAACTGGAAGCGTAACCTCAATGTAAATTTGGCAATGTCTGATTCACACAGGTACCCTTGAAAGCCTTATCAGATCAAGTATTCATTATGTATCAATGTTTTAATTTTGAAAACAGATTATTATCAAATGTGACTTCTCTTTTAAAGTAACTTGCCCATTTCTGCAGATATCAGAGTTCAAAACTTTTAAACAAAAAAAACATAAAAGGGTATATTTTAAAAGGGCAATAACACTCGGTAAGAATTGAAAACCTCGTTTTACACAATTCCGCACAAACAAACATTTTAGTATATTATAAACATTTAATATGCTTATAAACATTTACTGTCTTGGAAACATTTCTTGTTTTAGAAAGATTTATTGTATTGTAAACATTTATTGTTTTGTAAACATTTATTGTATTGTAAACATTCATTGCATTATAAACATTTATTGTTTTGTAAACATTTATTGCATTGTAAACATTTATTGTTTTGTAAACATTTATTGTATTGTAAACATTCATTGCATTATAAACATTCATTGTATTGTAAACATTCATTGTATTGTAAACATTTATTATTTTGTAAATATTTATTGTTTTGTAAACATTCATTGTATTGTAAATATTTATTGTATTGTAAACATTTATTGTATTATGACTGCATATTACATATTAAACTCTACGACTACGGGTTTCCCAACGTAAACAATAGAATTATAGTGAGGACTTGTATGTCGCATCAAAAATGATGGTAAGTGAGAACTAGACAACTTAGAAATAGG